GCCACATATCTTCTTTGTTCTGAATTGGGGATGTTGTCTTCAACATGTCTAAAAGCTCTCTTTGTAATTCCTCTTCCCACGCTCGAAGTTCGTGCTTCCATGTTAAGTTCGATTGCTAGCGACCATCATTCCATTGTCCTTGATCTTTGACACTACAATTGTGATTTGTTGATATAAAAAATAATCGAGGAAAAATGTTAGATAATTCTCTTCCTCCAATCCACACATCTGTCTAGAATTTAGTTTTTCCACCATCCCCTAAACCTATGACACATTAACATTTATATATGATTGATACTAATTTAAATTTTAATAATTTTAACTTTAATTTTTGCTACTAGTATGATCACCAATAAATTAATTACAAAGGATGATAAACCTTAACACCTAAGAAAAATTGAGAACTTTCCCACTTTATTTGTGCTCATTTTATGAATGACTTATAACTTAATAGAAATGTGTAAGTTTAGAATTTTTTTATACTTGAAAAAAAAAAAAACCAAAAGAAAAGAAACAAATGGAGGTAATCCTCTTCTCCCAACAGCATGTCTATATCTTGAATTCAAGACATATTACTTCAAGTATACAAACTATGTATTTTACATGAAATTTCATATAAATTTACATGTCTTGTAGGATTCTCCCATTGAGTGAGTTCTCTTATAGCACCTACGATCTCTTTGCTTTCCATCATTAACCTTCTCATGCAATAACCAAGTGCACTCAAGCTTAAAACCACTTGACTCTTCAGCTCCTTCCGGGCGCCATGAACAACTTGAATTTTATCCACAACTTCCCTTGAGTGTTGAAGAAATGAATTCAACATCCTCTCCATCTGATTATCATCTTCATCAACCCCAGAAAGCCTCGACAGGATCGAATTTGATGATTTTCCCAATTCAAGATCTTGAGAGACGTTCTTCTTCGATAGCTCCTCGTCAAGAACTGTTAGAGATTTGATCAAAGAGATCTCCTCAAGACATTTAATCAAAGAACCAATGGATTCCTTGAAAATTTTGATGTCATCATCTATTTTTTTAAGAGATTCTCTTGAAGAAGGATTGAGTGTTTGTAATTCTTGTTCGAGGAATTCTATAGCACGAGTACCAAAAAGGAAGAGGTCTCTCATTTTTGACAAGGACTCCAAGAGCTTACCATAACATGCACTATGGAAAGGCAAAAACCAGAAATTGGGCTCGGCATGGGCTTCTTCAATGAATTTTCCTAGCTCATTTACATTTAATCTCAGTTGCTTCTGCTTCTCCAACAAGCTATTAGCATTTCCAGCTTGAAGACACATTAACCCAATACATTCATGCAATGTTCCAAGGCATGTGGATAGCTGAGTTTTGGCTAGAGTAGAAGCTCTTGTGGGCTGAAAAAGAAGGTCCACAATTATTGAACAAGACAACCCAATGAAGGTTTCCATGATTCTTGCTATGGCGAATTCACTTGGGGGCCCAAAATTCTTTCTGCCCAAAATCAAAATAGCCCCAATGACTGCAGATATTCCACCAGCCTGTCCATACATCCGGCTTCTCCGAAGGAAACTGCTGAAAATGAACCAAGGAAGAAGAGAAAAAAACCTAATTGGCACAAACCTTTCAAAAACAAAGCAACCCAATACTCCATAGACCATGCCTAACACCGTCCCTTGTGCTTTAACATTTGCCACTTTGAATGTAGCCTCTCGAGCCACAGCCAGGCTGGTGGCTACTGGAAGCCCTGACCAAAACCCATTGGGCTTACTATACATCAAGCCGAACAGCACTGCAAGGCCCAATGAAAGTGAGCATTTGAAAGCAAGCAAAAGCCTCTTACTTTTGAGTTTCATGGCCCAGCAACCAAACATATCTTTGGAGGAGAGAAGTCCATTTTGTTTGGAAGAATGGGAATTAGGTCCTTCATTTTTTTGAATTAACGAATTTTGAGGTGGTTTGGATTGAAGGAGTTTCGCGCAGAATAAGAAGAAGAAAGAGGGTAACTCTTGGTGGGTCTGTGGGATTGTTTGAAGCGCTTGAAGGAAATTCATGATGTTTTCAGCATTTGATTCGGGTACGGTTAAGGAAACACATGGTGAACAATTCCTGGCTTGTTTTATGGAGATGGTCATGTGCTCCTCCAACTTGAGTAGACCATCTTTTAGCTCTGCATCCAACATTATTCTAGGCGACGGAAATGAAGGAAAATTTTCTAAAGCCATTTCCATCCCTTTTAAGGCTATCTCTATCTCTAGCAATTTCTCCCTCGAGTTCGTATGATTCGGCCTCAAGAATTTGAATGGGAGTCTTTCCCACTTCATGCCTTCCTGTTTATGACCAAAAAATAGATATGAATATATCATGAATTAATGTTATATATAAAAAGAAGAGAGAAATTGAAAATTTAATTTAATGGATTAAGAAGACAATTACTTGATAGCGGTTGATGGTTTGGAGATGTTTTGTTGCGGTTAG